AAGTGGCTCACCTCTATAACTTTTTTATTTTTTCAAATAAAAAAAAAACGAGATTTGGTATTTTAGTATGACATAAATTGGGATTGATTGACGCATTTAATTGTTTTTAGTCACTTCCTGTTTCATCGGAACTGACTACAACTTTTGATTTTTAAACGGCATTCTCGGTATATTTCTACTTTATTCGATAGAAAATGACATTCTGAATAGAATGACATATTACATGTCAACTTTTGACTTTTTTGCTGAAAAACAAATCGTATTTTAAATTTCAATCTAGATTGCCATGGCTGTGTTAAAAACACTAATTTTTAATCAAGAAACCTCGAAAAAATAGATTTGATCGTCTAATGTTTTTCGTGTCTTATCCTGGCCGGATAAAAGATGTCCAAATCCCATTTTTAATTATATCTCAGTTTTTTCAAATGGAACAAGGGTGACTCATTAGCATATTTGGAACAAGCATTTTTTTACGAATAATTTGGTACCACACACTTGGTATTTTTTGAGTCAAATTGTCGGTAAAAACCGCATGTTAAAAATCAAAAGTTGTAGTCATATAAAAAAGTGTCGAAATATTCATCAGGGACGTGCTTATGGGTTATCACTGGAATTAATAAAACTTAATAATAAATTAATGATATTAAATAAATAATTCATTAATTTTATTTTTATTTTTATTTTATTGATTTTGGGTTAATAGAATAGTAGCGTTTAAAGATCATCTTTTCAAGGAGATGGAAATCGACAAAATATCAATATACAACTTTTAATCGGCCCTAAATTAAAAGTCAGTGGCGCACATGTTTTTATTTTCTAGAAAAATATTCCAGTGATAACTAATATGCGCGTTCCTGGTAAATATGTCGACATTTTCTTAGCATCAAAACATGTCGCACTTACATTTACCCTCAAAATTTAATTCGAATCGTTAAAGGCACTTGGGAGAAAATGATAATAATAAATAGAAAACAAAAAAATGAAGACTTTAACCCCCTGTAACTATGAAACAAAGCACAATCGAACCTATGGCGATATAAAAAATAAATCTTATTTTTACGTCGAATCTCCCCATGAGAGATGGCACACAATTTTGTAGATCAGTAGTCCCTAATGTATAAAATATATCTTCTCATATTAATACTTAAATATTAAAAGATATTCATATTTTATAAAAAAAAAACTATATTTTATTGCAGTATGGTGGAATTTATAAACACCTCTCTTTGCAGTTTTTTTTTGGCAATCAGTTTAATTTGAACACCGAAGCGATGTGTTTCATTTTTATTTAACAATTAAAGACTAAAACCGGTTATACACGGTCCAATTCGATCGGACGGGTAATTTTTATTAATTTTTTCGGGTTGAATAATAAGTCGCGTCGTGTGTAAGCTTGTCATCTGATAACCATAGGCGTAGTGAGGTGGGGCAAAATGGGGCAGCTGCTATAGGCTTGGTGCATTTCAGTTGATTTTAACAAATTCCGACCGCGGCGCTTCAACGACAAAAATCAGAAATTATCAGTATGTATTTCACGCCGCGCCGCACGGTGGGGTATTAGCATGAAAAAGGTGATCGAAATTCTAAAAAGCAAATGTGTTTAAGATTTCCCAAAAAAAGATAAATGATAAGTTAAATCATCTCTGCCATGAATGGCGTTGCTATGGGTGTGTTTAGTTGCATTCATTTGTTTCAACGAAACGTCAAAGTTGTTACTTCTCACAGATACGAGGTAAATGGCTAAATTTTATGTTTAAAATTATAAATTGTTGTTGTTCTTGTGCTCTTTTTACGTTTATATTATCGTTTTGATTGAAAATGGCTCAGCAAGCTGCAGGTATGTATTCTACAAAAACGTATTATTTATTTTGATATTCTCTATACTAACGATTTTTTTTGCAACTAAAAGTTAGGCGTTCAGAAAATTTGATTAAATTTGTGACATTTTTATTTTACCTAGAGATTTAGTTGCGCATTTCGAAGAATTCAGCATATTGTCTATATACGTTTTACTTAGCAAACGTTGGGCTTTCATACAGTAAAATAAAATACTGCGACTTTTTGCGATTTTGCTGATAAAATGAGAAAAACATTCTTGGTTTCCTCTAATTTGCCAATCAGTGATATACTAATGCAAGGTGTAAACCGCGATGGCATTGTTGTGTACAAAGCGATCGCATTAGTGCCATTAGCAGTATAGCACAATTTGGCATTAATAGCGACTTTAGTGGTATGGGCATTGCTCGCTGATCAGTCGTAGCATTAGTAGTATTAGGTGCGATATTACTACTGGCATTAGTGGCATTGACCGTGGAAACACTGGAACAGTGATTTTTCTTTCTTTTTTTAGAATCGACAAATTATCCTCTATTTTGTTCATATTATTTCTTCTTTAATTGAAAATAGCAATAATTTATATAAGGTCTACATAAAAAAAATTTCGATCAACTATCTGTGTCAAATACCCCACTGTGCGGCAGCGGCTCGAACTTAGAACGAATCTCCCTCCAGTCTACTTCCTATGTAAATAATAGTAGGTCCACGCACGGGTCGTTTAGCGGTCGTCGCGGAGTCGAACTGCCTGATACTATTATTTAAATACCAAAGATGTAGTGGGCGGAGCTTAACAGAAAATTTCTACTCGGGTGATGTCATGCGCGCTGAAAGCCTATTTGCGACCGCCCAAGGATGTTATGAGATAAGATATTGCGCATGTAGTTGGCGGAGTTTGACAGAAAATTACTACCCGGTTGGCGTCAAGCGCACGGAGAACCGATTTGCGACCGCCAAGGATCTTAATGTTTACATACGATGGTATAGTGGAGGTAGATTCGCTCGGAGTTAGAGAGGACCCCTGTGTGCACGCTCATACAATTCATGTTGATCGCATTAAAATAATATTGAAATCGTGGCTTTGTTATAATATTTAAGTATTTTAGTTTTTTGCTAGTGTAGTTATTGAGACTATATAAAACATTAAGGTACACGAGGTTTGTGTGATGTAACGCTGTTTCGGGTAGTAAGAAATAAGCGAAAAATTATTAGGAATTAGGGCGTTGTTGGGTGCAATAACATTCAATAACTCAACTTTCTCGGATATTTAACTCTCCCGAACAACATTTTATAGCTTCGTTGTTTCTCACACCGATTTGTTCAAAAGCAAAAATGGATTCAAGCAGTTCGACGAATCGAGTGAGTAAACAAAGTGCTCGTTACATAATAAAAAAATTAAATAGACATATACTGTGAGTGGATAAAATATAATTTGCAATATTAATGGTATACTTTTTTTTAATCCACTAGTGATTAAATGTTTTATGACGTGTATTTGTATATACTAGTTAAATAAAAACACTAAATCACCACAATACACCAAAACACTTTTACTTTTACTAACTGAAATATTTAGTTTATAATCATCTGCTGATGATGCTAACATGGTTAGCGAAACGCGCGTCCAGTGTAAAAGTAAAAGTGTTTTGGTGTATTGTGGTGATTTAGTGTTTTTATTTTGCTGTGTAACACCAAAGGTTCCAACCCTCAACTGTAATAATATATACTAGTTGTTTACGATATTCTCCGATGGTGGCAGCACCGGCGGAGAATGCACCAAGCCTATAAAAGACATTTTGTATGCAACTGTTTGTGTTGAAGCTGTGAGTACATCTGTACTGTTCGGTAGCTTATCGATAACCACACCCTTCTATCTTCACATTTCTATCTTCAACCAAAATGGGACACCCTGTATATAGTACTGCGAATGTGGATACATTCCAGGAGATTCAGGAGAGAAATGCTAGCTCAAATAATATAATGGTTTTAAAAGTGGTCGAGAGCCAGTCCAGTGAAGTGAAGGAGAGGGTGATTTACGACAAAGCCCAGATTCAAGATTATATTATCCACATTTACTACAAATATGTAGTGATAATCAAGCGAATGCAACTCACATTTTGCTACATTTACTCATTTCTTCGCTACAAAAATATTAGTTAGAGTCAAGAGAATACTCGGAAATTTTGCTGAATTGTACGAGATGTTTATCGACCATACAATGGATTCTCCAAATTTACTCCAAAATGTGTTGTGTAGGTTAAAGTATTTTACTACATTTATTATCAGAGAAAGAACGAAGTAAAATGCATATATTTTTTTGTATGCAAGTGTTTATGTTGAAGCGATGAGTATAGATCGGCGCTATTTTTTTACAACACTCATTATGTAATGTATAACTAAACATTTTTTTAACAGTTTTCGTGTAGTAATAATAATAATTATACAAATATGCTTTTAATCAATGCCATTATACTGCATATGCAGATAAATATCTCGTAGGTACCGCTCGTACAATTCAGCAAAATTTCCCGAGTATTCTCTTGACTCTAATATTTGTAGCGAAGAAATGAGTAAATGTAGGAAAATGTGAGTTGCATTTTCTTGATTATCAGTAGATACTTGTAGTAAATGTGGATAATAATAATCTCGAATCTGGGCTTTGTAGTAATTCACCCTCCCCTCCACTTCACAGGCTCTCGACCACTTTGAAAACCATTATATTATTTAAGCTAGCATTTCCCTCCTGAATTTCCTGGAATGTATCCACACTCTCAGTACTGTATACATGGGTACAAATTTTGAGATAATAAATTTTCTGTTCACGTATTATCAAGATCATCACTCAGTTGCCTAGTTTTAAAAACTTATGATTTCATGACTATGAATTTGATTTTAGATGGGGTGATAAAAATGTTACATATCAATTATGAAAATATCGCCTTAATCCGTTCAATATTGAAATATAAAACTTTAACAATTTAACCACAACGAAAAAAAAGTCTTAAGCCTATTAAATCATTCACTCAACAGCTTTGCAGAACCTACCTACGAGAAAAAAAGATCGCCAATCAACCCTAATCCGGTTCCCTTTATTCCGAAAACATCCCCGATACCTACAAACATACACGACTCCACTCTCCTCGCCACTCTCCTCGCCACTCTTCATCTCCCTCACTCCTCCCTCGTTCTCAACAAAACCTCTCTTCCTTTGTTCCTTCTAGAGCAACGGCCACTTGTGACAAGGGTGCGCCACGCGAGGCTCAATTTGAGAGAGAGGCGCGCGATCGTCGCGTCCCATTGGCCGGTTCGCGCCCCTCCCACGTGTTCGCCACGTTGATTGGTGGACGTGAGAGGTTCGAAAAGAGCCCTCGAAACAAGGGTGCCTCTTCAGTGCCTCTCGATATCGTTGAATGTGTTCGCGTGTCGCAGCTCTCGATATTTTCGTCGGTCGAAGAAAAGTCGAAAACGATCGTGCCGTAGGTGATCAAATAGTTAGAACAGTGGCTGAGAAAACGGATAGTGAGGCCCGGTCCGGTGACGAGGAGCCGAAGAAGATGCCGCCGTCGTCGTCGTCGGTTGAGGCGAAGAGTGCCGCGACACCTCCGGTTTCCGCCGCCAATCCGGCCGCCTTGTTCGCCTGGCCGCCCCTGATTTTCCATCCGTGGATGCCGCTGCTGCCTGGAGCACTATATTCCAGTGCGATGAGAAGTGCTTTACCAGGGTAGGATAGGTTATTTTTTATATATGTTACAGTGAAAGTCGGAAGTCCAGTGATTGTTAACATTCACTAGGAACTGCTAACAATTATACGGATTAGACCAGTGAATGTGGTATCTTAAAGAGATTTGTCGACTTTTCCTAATAATTTCTAACATTCACTATAGTGAAAGTAACATTTACTAAAGGTCGCCAGTAAAAAATATTCTATTTTACAGGGTGGGTCAAATTCGACGCTTTTAAATGGAAACACCCTTTTCTATAGGAGATAGACAAAAACTAATATCGGTGTCTGGAGCTTAATTTTTGTCAAAAACATGATGGTGAAAACCGCATATCGATATCTCTTACCGTTTCATAGTTACGGGGTGTTTTTCAAAAATATGCATTTTTAACAAATCGCTGTAACTTTTAGCTGTAAAAAATGTTGTTTTTTTTATGAAAACGTTTCCAAAGCACCTTTTTACGTAAAATTTAATGGTTTAAATATAATTTTTTTAAAATTAATAATTTAAGAATTATCAACAGAAAATTTGATTTTTTATATGGGACACCCTGTATATTTTTAATTTATTGAAAAGAATTTAAAATTAGCTTTCCAAAAATATAACACATTTGATATTTTGCTCAACTCCTCTTCGAGATATAGAGTATATAAAAATTCGCCCTCTTTAAATAAGTAGGCTTTGAACGGCACCGGCTGCAATGCAAAAAAATTCTAGCTGTGAGCATCAATTAAAACGAAAATAATATTTGCTATGAGAGATGCAGAATTTTATAACAATTTAAAATATATTTAACCAACATCAACACATTTAAACTATATCTAATAACAATAAATATAAATAGCAAACCAAGACATGAGATTTTGCTACAGGTGTTCGACATATCAATCGTTCTTCTGTTATGGACAGACGGGTCAGTTTTTGAACATTTCTCGCGGAATTCATTAACTCGGTGGGGGTGAAAGATACCCCCTCATAACTAAGTATTTTTAATTCTTATCTAGATTATATGGAAGAATAAGGAACCTTTATTCTTCCGCAAATATATCCATAGGATTATATCCATGGATACTAAGTTAGGCGGCCTCGACGGCCAATGGCTGGGATCTTGGTTAGCTATTCAATTATTCTTGAAATTGGCTGCAAAAATTTGCTGATAACTTCAACGTTCAGAGGCGGTGCGTCGTCTTGCTGGAAATATAATGTTTTCGACTTCCATTAAGGGCATATCATCAATAAGGGGTTCAAAGCCTACTAATTAAAAGTGGCGAACTGTTAAAAATTCTGTATTTCGACAGGGATTATAACAAAATATCAAGTGTGCTATATTTTTGGAAAGGTAATTTTAAATTCTTTTCAGTTAATTAAAAATATAGAGGGTGTCCCGAATAAAAAATCAATTTTTCTGTTGATAACTCTTAAATTATTAATTTTAAAAAAATTATACTTAAACCATTAAATTCTACGTAAAAAGGTTCTTTGGAAATGTTTTCATAAAAATATAAAATTTTTCATAGCAAAGAAGTTACAGCGATTTGTTAAAAATGCACATTTTTGAAAAACACTCAGATATCGATGTGCGGTTTTCACCATCATGTTTTTGATGAAAATTGAGCTCCAGACACCGATATTAGTTTTCGTCTATCTCCTATAGAAAAGGGTGTTTCCATTTAAAAGCGTCGAATTTGACCCACCCTGTACAGGACGAGTGTGGAAAGGAAGAATGTTGGTTTAAGTTAGAACAAATAAAAATTTTAAGAATATTGGATCACCTCAATATTCAAGCTGATCCACATATCTTAAAATTACAATTTACTTCTTTATTCTTTAGTATATTTATTAAAAATTAAAAATTATAGAAAATAACGACATAACCTTCTAAATATTAAAAGGGAAAACATAGTAAACGCTTTAAAGCATACAAAGCAATTAAAAAAAACATTCATAAACATAAGATTACTTATTAGTACAAGGTTTTTTTTCAATAAATTTTGTCCTTCATCATGGACAAAACAAAGGTATACCCGAATTTTCTTCAACGGGAATTATTTGTTTTTTCAAACCCGCTAGTTCAAGCATATCAAAACGTTTAATAAGTTCGTAGTCCCTAGTTTCCTTAATATTTTTTTTCTTTTGCACGCTTAACATTTGCTATGACTTTATTATATTGCAAAAATTAAAAACAAGCATTGTTACATTCTTGTGAGTGCTTAGTTTACCTTAATTGTTTGCAGAAATTTCTCCCGTAGGGAAAATACCGCACAGCAGTTTTTACAACGATAACAAAACTATTATACATAACCACAAAAAAAACAAAGCGAATTTACGCCAGATGTCTGTCAATGTTGCCAACGTTTAGCCCAATTTAATGTTATCCTATTCAACTTATCCTTATTTATCCATATATTTTACAACATGTGGCAACCGCGCTAACTGAATCTTTCAAAACTAACTGAATCTTTCACTGCCATCATCCAGAGAATGCTAGCATTCACTAGTAAAAGTTGGTTTCAAAAATAGCTATTGAACTTTTACTGGCGTAGTCTTAGCAAATCAGTGAATCTGAGCTTTTACTAGTAATTATGATCATAGAAATATGATCATTTTTAGACTATTTTTCTATCCACTTAAATGGTGGTATTATTTATATCTTTTAATTAGAAATATTTTATGATAGTGATGTTTCCAAAATTAAATGTAAGAAAAAATATATTAAAATGCTAGATATTGTGCACTATTTTCAAGGGAACGCCCTGTATTTTATAACATAATGGCAGTTTTTATCCCACTTTTATGTTGTGATGGATAATTTTGGACTGGTCTAGACACACACGCACTGTTTCGAGCTGCAGGACAGGCAATATTTCGTCGAGATTTTTGCCAAATTTCAATGAAGATAGTATCACAAGAAAAAAAAAAGAAATCATTTTAATATTCAAAATCGATTTTTGAACAACAACTTTCTATTTTTTTTTAATAATTATTCTTGGCTGCATCGGTACAATCGTATTTAAGTAAAAATGTCATTGTGAATCCAATTAAAAAAACCTTCAAACTAATTCTATTTTTTTGTGGATATATAGGTAGGTATATAATTTTAATGACAAACTATTACTTACAAAAAAAGGCAAAATCAAATTATATTTTGTATTTAGAAAAAAAAAGAAAATTATTCGTTAATAAATATCGATTTTTGTATCTGTATGGGTGTTTAACAAATCAAAAAATCCATTATATAAAATTTCTCATTCTATTTGCTTGGAATATCGGAAAAATTTGCTTAATTAGTTTTGTTTTACCCTGTATAAGATTATAATCATATTGTCTTTTTGAAATAAATATTGGAAATATAGCCAGATTTGGAGTTGTGTTAAAAAAAAATTTTAAAAACGAAACGAAAAAAAGAAAGATTTTATGTTATTATACACGCAACAATTTTTTTTTTTGTTTATGCTTTGAGGTAAATTTCTTTGTTTTTGCTCCACTTACTTTAAGAGTACTACTGCTACTGTAAAGTCTGGTCAACGAGTCAAGGAAGATATCGACAGACCAGATGCAATATCTAAATGATAAAAAATATGTTTTTTTCTGTGGATTAAAATGATACAACAGTCACTATAATGTATCATCCCAATGAAAAGATTTTAATAAAGGTGCTGAAGATTCAAACATTTAATTCCGAACAGATTTTTTTTCTAACAAAGTTTTGGTTAATTTTCTTTTTATATGTAATTCAGTATACACGGTATAAAGGTACATTCAGGCTGAGAGCGTCGAGCGTCGCGTCGCGTTTGCGTCGCGTCCGCCCCATTGAACTCGAACCCCGACGCTCAGCGGACGCTAGCGCAACGCCAAACGCGACGCTGTCTGCCTGAACGGTCTAATTTAAGTGAAATGAATTGATTCCATTTCCACACGCGGACGCGACGCAAACACGACGCGACGCTCGACGCTCTCGGCCTGAATGTACCTTAACAAGTGTACACTTACTACGACCGAGAAAAATGAAAGATTTTTCTTGATTTAAGTAAGAACAATCCTCGGATTGTCACGGGGTTTCTAACAGGACACTGTCTCCTCAACGAACACCTCAGTAGATTGAAGCTGAGAAACAAGGGCGAATGCAGATTCTGTGGGGAAAATGGGGAAACACGAGAACACCTTATTATTGAGTGCGCCGAGACGACAACTGTTTGTGCAATAAACTTTGGTACGGCTGATGTCGAAGATGCAGAGCTGGCCTCTGTGGAGCTGTCGGAGATACTAGCTTTCGTCAAAGCCCTGAGATGTATGATGAGTAATAAGTCGTTATAACTCAAGAAAGGGAAAGGCACAATAGATCTATAAGGTCGCGGTGATTAACCCCCCTCTTATACATTCTACAACTTCAAGTGATTTGTGTTTGACTTGTTCAGTTAATTGCAGAACATTAGAGGGGGAGATGGCCGATTCTGCATCTTCTACACTGTGGAAGTGGTGGAGGAGTCAGACATAAATTAGGTAAGAACATGTAAAATACGCTAATAGACCACAGGTTTAAACAAGAATCAACCGCTTTAAAATAGAGATAAACAGGTTTGAACAAAAAATGATTTGTTGATTTAAGCTAAAAAGCGGTTTAAAACAGTTCAAAGCGGTTCAAACATGTTTATTCTTGTTTATTAGCGCATTTTACATGTTCTTACCTGATTTACGTCTGACTCCTCCACCTCCTCCACAGTGTGGAGGATGCAGAATCGCCCATCTCCCTCTACTACCGTATGGTGAGTTATAACTCGTTATAACTCAAGAAAGGAGAACATACAATAGATCTTTAAGGTCGCGGTAATCACCACCTCCCCTCCTAGACTTTCTACATAGGGTGCCGATTTTCGTCTGTACGAAGAAAATGAATTCGGTAAAATAAGATGTTTTGAGCATTGAGCAATTCTTTTTTCTAGCGCATGAAATAAAGCGCCGGATTACGTAAGTCTCTTTGTCATAGCGATTCACTCCTAGA